CTGAATAAGGGGGAGCTGCCTGGTCGTGACCTCCAGAGGCCCTTTCATTTCTGACCTTCTGGGGCATCTTGGAAGGGGCTAATCATAGACCTGCTCCTGATCTGGCCCTCTCTGCGCCTGTCCTGCTTCTCCAAGTAACTCTGACCTCGTCAGGATTAAAAAGCTGAGGGAGACAAGGGGCAGGTGCATGTGATTTTTATCCATCAGGCCTGGAGTCTCAGCTTAGTGAGAGGAAACCACAATATTGTGGAGATTGCAAAGATTTGGAATCCCCATTGATTTACCATCTCAACCCTCCCTGTCCCACATAAAAACTGTGAGATTTTCTTCTAAAAACCACCCCCTTGTCAGCCCACCTTGGGGCTTGTAGGCCCCTAACCAGTTTTGGAAGATATGTGGAGTAGAAGGAGAGGGGCGGGTTTGCAGCGTTTAGTGTCCAGGCCTAACTTGGAATCTAGGGAAGATGTTGGGCTGATGGAGGAGGCTGGGAGAGTTGGAGAGAGGATAGATGGAAACTCCCTTGGAAGCTCTTATTTCTTATTTCCAAGAGACCTTTAGATGGAGTCCCTCACTCACACATGTGGGGGGGTCCCTGAGCCCTCTCAGACCAGAACAGGAGGCTGCTCGGGCCAAGGTGGGATCTGCTGTAGGTGCAGGTGGAGCCCACCAAACACTCTCCTATAGAGAGAAGCACCCTGACTGTGGGTACCGCTCTTCCCGGCCCTCCTGTGCTCACCTGGAGGCCTCCAGCCACTCAGTGCACACCTGAGACTGAGGAGGGACCATGCACGCCTCACTGGAGTCACTTAGGGGATCACTGCACATCACATCTGTGTGCAGTTCACGTCTACTCTGCATTTTCTCTGCACACTTCTCTAACATTGCTTTCTTTCTCTGAGAACTTTAGTAGTGAAACTTGCATACATAATTACAAATTTAACTTATAAAGATTTATCACTTAAAAATAAGCAAATCTATTCCTATTGTCATTGATATTAGATTAAATTTATACATTCATTATGGAGAGTAACTTTTTAGTAATGTGAAGTTTTCCTATAAAAGATGCTTAAAAGGAGGGCTTAGTAATGACTGCAGATGCATTTTTAAGTTTTATTCATAAAATTGTCTACACCTATAGCTTAAGATTTGTTCAACTGCTTTATTAATTTATAAGTAAGATCTTTTATTTTTTATAATTTATAAATATTTAAATATAGATAACAATGATATTGGCTTGGTTATATTAATTTTATGTCCCATTAACTTACTACAGATTCTCCACCGTTCAATTGTTTTTCAATTTATCTCCTATGATTTACAGACAATAATTTCATTAACCTCAAGGAAATTGAAATTTCACTTGTTTCCAGATTGTGCACCAATTTTATTTATATCAAATACTATATGAAAATGCGGACAAGGTAAAATGTTAAGATATACCTGAGCGTCACTTTCAGGTAACATCTTCATTTTTAATCCAAATTGCTTTAAGGCAAATACAACAAAAATCTATATTTTTATAGGTATAACACTATTGACCTATCCCTCAGTCCATTTTTCTGTTACATTCAGATTTTATGAGGAAAAAAAATATTATTTTGTTTATAGAAATTAGGATTTTTTTCTGGACTTTTTAACATCTGAATTCTTTCTCTTTAATTTTAGCCATGGTGTGATACATTTAAAATACTTATTAGTATCAAACATCTGGATATTACCCCCAGTGAATGACGTCTATTATTAATTCATACTTTCTGACCAGTATAGCTTATTTAGAATTTTTACATTGAGATGTATAATTAGAATTGATCTATAATATGTTTTTTTTTATGTTAAAACTGGTTAGAATAGATTTGAAGAGTTACCTATTTTTTGTGCTCACACAATAAATAAAACCACTGAATTTCCTGTTCCTTAACTCTTTGAAGACTAGCAACGTGGATTTTCTTTGGGATATTTGAAATAGAGAGGATAGAGATTATCTACTTTTTTTTCTTTCATTTAGTGTTTATTGAATGTCATTAACCATTACATGATTTTAATATCAAAGAAGTTGTGAAATTCACACATTCTTGCAACTCACTTTCTTACCCAGCATTTTAGCACGAAAAAGTTCAAATATAAAATCGAATGATTATAGTCTTCTCTCCTTGAAATCTTATAGCAGTTTCCAGAGTTATTTCAGAGAAAGAGAGAGAGATGATGATGATGATGATGATGATCATGATGATGATGATGATGATGACGATGCTGACGGTTATGGAAACTCCCTCATCTGTCCTGTCATATCTGGCTTGTCTGGAATGCACCAAAACCCCAAATCTCAGCTCCCCCTTCTCCTCTGGACCCAGCTATATCTCACAGACATGACTTTATTCCTTGTTGAAGAACAGTCAGAGGTCTTTCTGGGGACCTGCTCTCACTGCAGCCTGTGATGTGCCTCATCTGTGTCTTCACGTGGCTCCTCTCAGGCTCCTTCTCCTGTTCAGGAATCAGCTTAAACATCATCTCAAAGTGTAACCTTCATGGTGACACCGTGTAGATCAGACCTATCTTCTCATTACATAATTTATTTCTTATAATTAACCCAACTGATGCCGTATATTTGTATGAATTGAATTTTCTCTCTTCTCTCCTGTATGTATGACCCACCTCTCATCCATGGATCCCCAGTCTTCAGTTGTTGAATAACAGAAGCTCTCATATCTGGAAGAGTTAGCATGCATGGTCAATATCCCAGAGTGAACAGAGAGCATACGAGAATTCAATTATTTCTGTATTGGGAGACCAGGTTTTTCAGCAATCCTGAGCTCTGGGGGCACATCCAAACTCTGTTCCAAAGAGGCTCAAAAGCAAAGTCTAACTTCAAAAAACCACACAAAGACTGAGAGAATCCAATGAGAACAGAGGGAATCCTTCTGCAATAGAGAAAGGATTCTTCAAGGGACTGCATCATAGTTATTTCCTGAGAAACAGAGGGAGTCATAAGACCACAGAGCCCAAGGGAACGGCTCGAGTCATATCAACTCATTGACCATCCCCACTATTTTATGATTCTTAGAATCAGCTGACACCATCAGCCCATCACTATACAAGTCAGACTCCAAGAGTAGCAAGCAGGAGAAATCCTCAGTTATGGGGCTGGTGCAGAGGGTCATGTCCTCCACAGGGGAGGCAGGTGCCTGGGCAGACATACAGAGATCTTTGGTGACTTTGCTCAGACCTTACCTCTGTGACCTCTTTATCCACAATTCCTAGCTTCACATCCCCAGGAATACACAGTGGAGAATCTCATTCAGATGGGCGTGGCTTCTGTGATCCTGGTGGTCCTCGGGATTGTGCTAGTTCAAGCTCGGCACAGCCCAAAAAGACCCCAAGGTGCAGCCACGAGGTAAACACAAGCAAGAACTATGCACTGTTCAGAGTGGTAGAGCCTTGGAAATAAATCTTGTGTGCCCAGGAGGTTCTGGAAGAGCATCTGGGGCATACGCTGTGTGAACTGTCTGCAGGTCATTGCAAGGTGGAGGAATCATTATTCATGTGCAGGGTCAGTGTAGACTCTTCTGCCATTAAACTGTGGAACTTTCCTTCCAACCACTGTTGAGTTATCTTGACTGGCTCCTATTTTGCCCCCTTTCTGTGAAATCAGCATGTTTCCCACAAGACAGATTTGGGTCCGCACCTCCTTACACTTTCATGCTCTAGCACACTTTCATGTAACACATTTTTCTTTATTGCTAATCACCACATCCCTTGATGTGTATTAAGGAGTGTTCACCTCTTATTGAGAGCATGCAATCCTTTTTAATAAATCAATAAATTGCCGTAACAAAGATCCAGCTTGAAGTCGGTAAATCCAAATGATGCCCTAACACTTTCTCTGGACTCTACAAGCCCTTCACTTTTCATCAGATGCTACCTGTGTAATTTCTTCAGAAATATGTTCACTTGGAATCAAGACACTACTGTCTGAAGTGATAGCAAGATTCTTACTGCGACTGAACACCCGTCGTTAAAAGCAGTAATTCAGGTATTTTCCAGTTTCTCCGATGTATATACTCCCTTCATGGCCAACTTCAGGGTGCCAATGTGAGGTCCCGGATGCACAGTTCGGAAGTGATGCACAGAATTGCCTGTCACAAAACAGTCCAAGCCAATAGGACACCTTGAATTCCACTCTAATAGCCCCAAAGTGCACCTAAGTTTCCTTGTATTTTGTGTATAATGATCATTCCTACTTTAATGTTGTGACAGAGTTTCAGGGAAATCACAAGGTCAAAATTTCAGCACGTTCAAGTGAGATGCAAGGAGAAAAATGGGAATATCAGTTGTGTGAGAGAATAGTGAGCACACAGAATTCTAATTCATTACTTGTAGGAGTGCAAGAACATCCATCAATTTAGAGAACTGATGATACTTATCTAGTTAAAGTAAGAGACACACAGGTATGATATTTAAGTATGTACCTTAGAGAAAATGTGTACATTTACACCAGGATCCATTCACAAGGACATTGACAGAAGAGATATTCATCTTAGTCAAAATCATTTTAATACTATATGCACCAACAAAAGAGACAATTTGCTTTTCTCTGTAGAAAATCAAATATTACATGTCAGAGAAAATGAGCAAACTATAATTCCAAATGGTCATGTGTATCCATCTTCAAACATAGTACTGAATAAATGTAAAAAGACTGTAAAAAGCCATGTCTTTAGGATTATCCCATTTACCTAACGTTAAAAAGGAAACATCATGCATTATTTAGGAATGTATACATAAAATAAACTCTCTTGGAAAAAGGAGAGAAAAGAATTCCATCCAATCCATGATGGTGGTTACAAATAAGCTGGGGTTAGATGGTTTTGTTCACGTTGGAAAGAACAGACTCTTCTGGAATACTGACAATGTTCTTCTCGACTTTCATTTGATGATTCATAAGTCTACTTGTCATTACAGGTCTATAGTGCATTTCTGCTCTATAACCATTATTATTTTCCATACAAATTAGTGATGTGGGGTTGAAGTAGGGTGATGAGAGCCACATCCTACACTAGTGACTAATTCCTAACCAAGTGGCAGTTGATCTGTTACAGCAAATACTTCACATTTTGGCATTGTGTTTTCCTCAAAACATGACATGTACCTGCCTAATCACCCTCACCTGAATCTATTTAGACAATAAAATGCTTTTCAGGTGAGAAACTGGGTCTCTGAACAAACAATTTGGCCAATACTAGACTATATGCAATTAAGAATTTAAAGTGGGCTCATATGTGTTCCTGATCCCTAATGGTCCAAGTATCTGAGCTGAGATGAATCCACCCAATGTGGACTTGAGGGTGATTTCAGAGATGGGGTTTAACCCCATCAGGTAGTGGTTTTGGGTCACACCCCTGGGGTTGATTCAGGACTGAACTACACTCAGAATGTCTGGTCTTTCTTGGACCCACTGAGGAGGAATCAGATAGAGGTCATGGGAGGGAGGAAACTCCCTTTTCCTACAGAAAAAGCATGTCAGAGGTTCTCATGTGCCATGTTGTGTGAATCTGTCCTGTCTGGTTCTGTCTGCTCTCCTCATCTGCACTGAACCAGACAAGCTGGGCTGGGACAGTGCCTGGGTCCTCACATGCCCACCCTGTGTTTCCTGGATAGAAGTGGTGCGGACTGCAGGGAAGTCAGCCCAGCCCAGGTTCCAGGACAAAATGGACCCCAAGGAGCTCAGCAGCCATGGTCCCTTTCAAATGGGGACATTTAACTCTTTGCTTTCTTTTTCCAGAGATTATCAACACTCCTGTGCAGTTCAGCTAAGACTTCTCCACACGTCTCAGCTCTATCTTCTCATTTCACCTGCTCAAGGTTGACCTTCCATGATGCTCAGACTTGTTAGGATCTGCTATTATCTAATCTCCAATGCCCAAGGATGTGTTCCACATAACACGTCATGGTGTATAATTTCATTTATTTTGTAATTAATTATTGGATGTCCCTCACATCCCAAGACTAGTAGGGATCAGGAACAGGATCCATGTCAGGTAAGCACATATTTTAGTTTTCATGCTTGGTACATTGTCTGAATATAGTTGATATTTGTAGATAAACTTTGACTGATTGGATGGGTGAACGGAATGTTTGTAAACAGAAAAAAATGAAAAAAAAATTATTTCACACACACACTGCAATTTGAAATAAATCAAGCTTGTATCCTCCCCTGCTGCCTTCCTCTTTCATTTTGTAAATTTGGTCCCTCTCTCAGTTCTCAGACCCAAGAATTCTCCATTTTCCACTCCACTCAGCTGAGACATAAGAAAAAGCTGGCCAACCGAAATGAGCCAATCAACCAAAAAACAAAATCATGGAGGCGAAGAAGGCTACATAATTTGTGGGGCACAATGCTAAATGAAAATACAACGCCCCTTAGATCAATTTCAAGATGGTGATAGAAGAACATCACCCGAATTTGGAGCCCTGTCCTATCACACAGCTCACCAACCATGAAGTCTGCCCTGCATATAGCAATGGGCAACCCAGTTATTGCACACTGTGGTACAGACGAGTATTTTCTCAGTGCCTTCTGGGTGCCAGGACCTGTGCTGGGTGCTGCACATACCCCATTGCTGAGTCCTCAACATATGACTATTAGATGTGGGTCATCTCCTCCATTGTAAAGACGATTTCAGGATCAGGAATTTATTTGCCTAAAACACACCAGTTTGGGACTACCATCGATTTACAAGTATGTCTGTCTCCTATTTCCTGCCCATTCCAGCTCACTGCCTCCCAACTCCATCCTACCCAAACATTGTCCTGAGGACCTGGCAGGACCCTCACTCCTAGCTTCATCATCCTCATCTCTGTCTCACCCCCAGTATCTGTAATTTCAAAGAAAACAGCTGTGTAAGGAGATGCCTAACTCTGGGGTCAGGGTGATCTGAATTCCTTTCTCAGATGGAAACTTACTGGAGATTTGTCCTCAAAGAACAGACAGACATCCCTAAGACTTCGTGTTGTTGTCTTTAAATGTAGAGATGATATTCTAGTGTTAGAAAGGATCCCAACAGAAGAAGACCTCCACTGAAAGGCCCTGAAATAACTGATGCCCCACAAATAGTAGTTCCTTCTCTTATACCATCCTCCTGGAAAAGAGAAGAAACCCAGATTTTCCAACCTTGTTTCCACAGCAATGAGCACGTGACCATCCATGCCGGGAGAAAAGGGACACTCTGAACTCTAGGATAACCAAGCACACTGAGATCCCAGAACACGACAGCTGTCCTCAGTGACTGCATGTGCACAATTACTGCTGGCTTTGCAAATGCCCCAACAGAAAGTGCCCCTGGAGGTGGTGTTGACAGGTCAAGTGCCTCCATAGTCCTCTCCCCAACTCTCTGCTTCTGACCCTAAGCTGGACACAGGCCTGTATTCCCACATGGAGCCCATCTCTACTCGGCCACCTCACTGTACTGTAGGGACAAGACGTGGGTCACAGTGGTGCTGAGTCTCATGGTATACCCATAGAAATAGCTCTATAATTATGTTCAATACTTTCAGACAACATGGTGGCATGTAGTTTTGTGAAGTTTTCAATGTAATAAATAATTTGCACCTCATTTAAAGCTCATGGGGAAATTACTAATCTCGTTTACATTTACATGATACATGATGAGAAAGTCGAGATTCAGAGATCCTGCAGTATGTTCAGAGTCACAGATCCAAAGAGTGGAAGATTCAGGAATGAGGCCAAGATTCCAGATACCAGAGTCCAGTCTTGCAAACACTATGCATTTCAACCTTCTATTAGTTTCCTAGGGTTGTCATAACATTTCCACAAACCAGGTGGATGAAAACAAATTTATTGTCTTACAATTCTGGAGACTAGAAGGCCACAATCAAGGTGTCAGCAAGCCCATGCTGGCTATTCAGGTCCTAGGGAAAAATCCTTCTTAGCTCTTGCTGACCACAGGCACCCCTAGGCTTGTGTCAGCGTAACTCCAATCTCCGCCTCCACCTTCACACGGCTGACATCTCCTCGTGTATTCCTGACTTCACATGAAGACTCCTTATGTGCCTATTCTCTGCTTCTGATAAGGACAACAGATATCCTGGATTAAGGCTCATTCCAATTAATTACAGTCTTATCTTAACTGGATTAAATCTACAAAGGTCCTATTTCCAAAAAGTCACATTCACAGGTACTGGCCAAGTGGACTTCAACATATCATTTTAGGTGACGCAATTCAATTCACATGAGCATCCAAAGGAAAACATACATAGGAATGAATTTATCAAAGAAAGTGCAACACTTATGCACTGTAATTTTTTTTTCAATATGCTAAGGAAATTTGAAAAGATCTAAACCAATGGAAGGACATTCCAGGATTATGTCTTGGAAGATTTAACCTTGTAAAGATGACAATACTCTCCAAGGAAATCTATCAAATCAATCCAATCCCTTTTGAAATCATAAAGGCCATTTCTGCAGAAATGGAAAAGCCTTTTCTCTAATTCAAGGTAATTGCAAAAGACCCACAATCTCCAAAAAACCTTGAAAAAGAAGAACAAGTTTGGAGAACTCACACTTCCTGATTTCAAACTTACTACAAAGCTCAAGTAGTCAAAACAGTGTGGTGTTGACATGAGGCCAGACATATAGCCGCATGGAATAAAATTGAAGGACAAGATATAAACCCATACATATGAACAGCTGACTATTGACTAAGATACCAAGACCACTCAATGGGGAAAGAATAGTCTGTTGAATAAATTGTGTGGGGAAAATTGGATATCCACATACAAAAGAAGGAACCTGGACCTTACACACATTTTATGCAAAAATTATCTCAAAATGGATCAATATAAGAGCTAAAATTATAAAACTCTTAGAGAAAAAATATATAATCAATCTTCCCAACCCCGGACTTGACAATAGTTTCTTAGATATAACATTTAAGGACAAGCAGCAAAGAAAAAATAGATTAATTGGACGTCATTAAATTTTAAACTATATATCAAGTGTAAACACAACCTACAAAATTGAAAAATATATTTTCAAATAAGATATCTAATAATGTTCTAGTATCCACAATATATGAAGAATACCTTTAACATATAAACCAAAAAAAAGACCCAATTAAAAAACAGTTCAAAGGCTTGCATAGACATTTCTACAAATAAGATGTACAAATGCACAGCAAGTATATGAAAGATGGCCAACTCATTAGCAACTAGAGAAATGCAAATAAAACCACTATGAGTTGCCACTTCACCCCCACTAGACTGAACACAATTTGAGAAAAAGATAGCAAGCGGTGATGAGGATGTGGAGAAATCTCAATCCACATACATTGTTGGTGGGATTGTGAAATGGTTGGCCATTGATGAAAGCAGTTTGGCAATTCCTTAAAAAGTTAAACCCAGAATTACCACATTACCTGTAAACTCCCCTTCTAGCTCTAAGTTTCAGTCATGCAAATTAATCATTTTTACAGATCTGCCACATAACTGTTTGCCTAGAGTTAAAAATACCGTCCCGTGTATGAAAATTTGTAAAGAAGTTAGATATCATGTTAAGTGTTCTTAACACAATAAAGAAAAAAGATTTGCCAACAGGTATTTGAACAAGTACTTATGCAAGTGTGTTGATAGAAGAACTATTCACAATAGACAAAAAATGACAAAAGCCCAAATGTCCATCAACTGATGAACAGAAAACAACAAAAACAAACCTGTGAATTCTCTCCAACTAGTGCTTTTGCTCAAAGCATGGGGATAGAATTCTCAATATCAGATGAAGAGTTATTGTCCTGGGGACAAGTGGTGGTGAGGGAACAGAAATGACTCGGGGATTTTGGTGGAGAATGATGAAGATAAGGTGCTGTTGCTTATAGAAACAAGGAAATTAGAGAAAAGAAGTGTTTGTGAGACAGAAAACCACAGACCCAGGCCAGGAGGGAGGTGGTGGTTCCCTCAGCAGGCAGTTGACAGTATTATAAACATCTCCCCAAGCCGCCATCTCCTCTTGGGCTCATCCATCCTGTGATAGCCCCATTGGCACCTTTAGTCAACCAAGGCAGAGAGTGGAAGAGCCGTCAATTCTTCACCTTCTTCCACTTCATATACAATGAACAAATCCGCAGTTCTGCCCCTGAGCCCTTCTTTCCTTGACCCTGGTCCATCACCACAGACAAGTTCAGCTGAAGATCCAAACGTCTTGTTGGTGCCACACTATCAGCTTCTTTCCTGCCACTTACCCCAGGCTCTCACTCTGTGATGAAGTGTTCTATTCTGGTGGCCCCAAACTTATCTTTCACTGACCCTATCCTGCAAAAATCCACTCCACAGTTCTCTTGCTTCCTTCTAGTAAATTCCAATATCTCAATTATCTCCAGTCAATGAAGTTGATGATCAGGCTGAGATATACTCTCCATCCCCAGCAAAACTGGCTCCTCTCTACAAACCAAACTCAGCCCAGTTAACCACCTCTCCTCCCCAGACACACACACAACCTGAGTAGTTACCACACGTTTCCCTTCACAGGGGCAACTCCTTGAGCCAATTTGAACATAGCAGACTCCTTTCCAATCCTCCTAAACCATGATACTGACAAAGAACTCTTCCTACATCATCCCACTCAATTGTAAATGTATTTTAGTTGTAAGATTTTTGAAAATGTTACCTGAGATATCCTCATAAACCACTTAGAATACTTATTGACTCATCACATAGGGGGTGGATTAATGATAGATATTTATCACTGTTTGTTTCAATACAGTCCTCTTACAGAACAGTCCCTACAGAGTGGTGCTCTTCTCAAAACTGCAATATGTTCATATGTTCCTTTACTGAAAATTTTCCTGTTGCAGAAAGATAAAATCCAAGAATACTTAGAGGTGTACAAGACCTGTGTGATCAGGATGCAACGTTACCCGATTCCTGACAGTTCTTAGACTAATTCACCCTTTTCCTGGTCAAGGATGCCAGCCTCTCACCACACTTGTGCTGACTATACCTTGTCTTGGTTTCTTCTTCTCCAGAAGATCACCTCACTCTCATGTCAATGAAATTGTGATGTCAAAATCCTCGTATATCCACATTAAAAACCACAACAAAGACAGAATCAACTAGGCGAGAAAATATTGCATACTTAGAGTCTCAATACTTTTCTGGGAGAAGCACAAATTGCTTTAGTCAATTTGGGGAGTAGATAACATATTGTCAGACAATTTGGAGAGTGGATAATTGTTATTTAAAAGGAGACAGCTATGTGTCTTTTTCTTTTAACTGATAAACATATACGTATGTATGTATAGACACCCGGGTTTAAAATATGTGCACATAAACAATAATTTATTTTTGAGACTATTGATACTGACAGGCATGTTATTCTTTTTAGACACAAACCATAGAAGTAAATCTCACAAATAATGAATATTTGTGTTATATATATGCAATGGAAAATTATATGGCAGCAAAACGCACAAAGTAAAACTACAAACAGTTAATATCATGTTATATATCAATTATACCTCAATAAAAAATAATAAAATGTCTGAATTGAGAAAAAAACAACAAACCGTAATACAGATCAATTTTTAAACATGGTAGTGAATAAATGAGAGAAATTTTAAGACACATGAATGAAGGATTATTCATTTCAATACATATATTTCTAAAGGAGACAACATTTATTATTTAGCGAGGCAAAATTAAGTTTAACTCTATAAATAAATGAAGGAAAAGCATCTCATGGAATCCGTAATTATGGTAAACTGTCAGGTAATTTGGAAGGTTTTAAGAAGGAAGCCACCATCTGGAATACTGACTATGTTCTTCTTGACTTCTATTTGTTTACTCTTAAGTCCATTGGTTGTTACTGGTAAATAATACATTTCCATTTACAATCTATGTTTAATTTCCATACAATCTAGTGAGGTGGTATTGAATTAGGGTGGAGAAAGCCACAGGCTTCACTTGACAGTGAATATCAACCAAACTTGCTCTTGAACTGTTAAACAAATACTTTACATGTTCCCTCAAAATATGGTCACCATCTGCCTGTTCATCCTCTTTTGAGTCCAAGCAGACAATGAGCTACTTCCCAGGTTAGAAACTTGTCTCTGGTCCGGCCCCGTGGCTTAGCGGTTAAGTGCTCGCACTCCGCTACTGGCAGCCCGGGTTCAGATCCTGGGCGTGCACCCACGCACGCTTCTCCAGCCATGCTGAGGCCGCGTCCCACATAAAGCAACTAGAAGGATGTGCAACTATGACATACAACTATCTACTGGGGCTTTGGGGGTGGGGGGGGAAAGGACGAGGATTGGCAATAGATGTTAGCTCAGGGCCAGTCTTCCTCAGCAAAAAGAGGAGGATTAGCATGGATGTTAGCTCAGGGCTATTCTTCCTCACAAAAAAAAAAACAAAAACAAAAAAAGAAAGAAACTTGTCTCTGAACAAACACTGCCCAATATCACTGGATATGTAAGTAACGGTTTAAATAAGGATCATGTGAGTTTTAGAATCCTTCATATCCCATGAATCTGAATTGGCTATTGAGGCCACCAATATAGACTTGGGGGTGATTTCAGAGATGGGCTTCAACCCCATTAGGCATTAGTGTGGTGATCACACAAGGACTTGGTTTCAGTCTGAACCTTAATTAGGAGGCCTGGTCTCATCTTGGTCCCCAATGAGGGGGAATTGGAGAAAGTGCACAAGGGAAAAGTGGCTCCTTTTTTCCTGTGTATTTTCTACATCAGAAGCTCTCGTAGATGACATTCTGTGAATCTGCTTTCTCTGACCCTGTTATCCCCTCATTTGAGTAAGAAAGGAACAAAGAAACTACAGAAGAGTCAGGAAACAGCTAATAAAATGTCAGTAGTAAGTCCTTACATATCACTAATCACTATCAATGTAAATGGATTATCAGAAGACATAGAGTGGCAGAATGACTTCTTCCATAGCATAACCCATCTTCTTGCCTCAAAAATTCAATTTCCTCCTTTAATTTTCATATATGTAAACACATTCTTAATTTTAAATGTCTCATATATGCCTACCATTCTGTTTCCAGGGATATGATAAGCCCATTAATGGTAGATTGTCTTTGTAACACGGTACATCATTATTAGGACTCCTCTTTGCTGTCCGTGCTTGTTGGAAGGCTTTCCACACACCTAATTTTCCATGGAGATTTTCTCCCAGGGCTGTGCTGGGAGTCAGGCATGGTGAGGGGGATTATTGAAGCTCCTTCTGCCCTGTGGCACCCACTCTCCCAAACTCAGGGTTGTGTCCAGCAGGGATGGGTCCAATGCAAGCCCCTCACTCACACATGGCACAGACATCCATATCTTCCTATATTGCAGTGAATCTGTTCCATGCACACACAGGGGAGGTGGCTCAGTGCTGGCCACAGGCTGAGGTCAGTGGGCAGAGATATCCCAGTGCACATCCACAGAAACTGGGGAGGAGGCAACGCACCTTCCAAACTCACTCCAGAGCCCTGATCCCTTCATAGCCTGTGACGATCCCAGGTTTCCTGTCTTGTGTCCACGCACAGGTGAAAACCCCTTCTCTAACGACCCCTTACTACTCCTAAGCACAAATGGCCACTCAGCTTTGGCATCATTTATCTGTTGTGGTCCTCTCTCAAGGTAGGGAACTTTCATTTCTCCTTTTCTGCATTTGGCTATGACTATGTACTTCAGAAATATTATAAATAGCATTTCTCAGTGTTTGGGAGCCAACTAGGGCTCTTGAGTGGGAACATCCTTCACCCACCTTGACTGTGAAGTTGGACACCATGATCCTCTCATGTACCAAGTCTCATACATTTTAATCTTGTCAGGAAGTTAATAATGGTTGATCCAAACCATGAACCGGACAATACTGGCCCTCACACCCAGTCTCAGCAATAGGGTTCATAACAAGATCCTCCAAATGACAAAACAGAAGCTCAGAGATTGGACTTTACTGCTCAAAGTCACACAGGCAGTGGATGATGCTTGAGTATTTAAATAAAGCTCAGCTTTCCCTTCAAATTCAGAACACTAACCTAATTCAATGACCCATAACATTGAAAGGCTGGACCACAGAATGAGGAGGAGATATCTGAGAAAGGAAACAAGAGGCACTGAGGCGACTGAAGAGACTCAGAGTTTTGTTTCTGGGAAGATGGGGTGGATGGTGTTGCAAGATTCAAAGGGAAGGCCATGAAGGGAAATGTTTAGTAGAAAGACAACTCATTATCTGGGGTCAAGAGGAAAGTCATGTTTTCTCCTCATATTTCTCTGTTTTTCTCCTTTGTGCTCATTGTCACAATGAAGCAGAACTTGACCTGTACAGTTAGATGTTAACTGTGTGTCTGCTATTGTGAGCTCTGCAGTGCATGCAACATAGCACACGTGTTACTGCATTTTTCTGCTGGTGGGAGGAGCAAGTTAAGACACAGATATGTGCCACTTTCAACCAACATTCCTTTTCTTAAATATATTTTGGTAAATGATATTTTTTAAAGATAAAATCATTACTGTTTTACAGATATAAAATAAACACAAGTTAATTTTTTTATTGAACTCATTATTAATGAGGGAACTTGAAAGATGTTACAACCAATTTACAGAAGAATCCGAAGAGCAGACACATTGATAGATCAAGAATATTGAATGGAATTCCCAAATGGAGTGCAAAGTTTCCTTCCACATAATATTACCTCCTCCTGGAATTCTCTCTCTCTCTCCCATTCACCTGAGGTAGAAAGTCCCTCTCAACCTTCAGCTCTGTTCTCAAATGTCATCTCATCAAACCAAGGTCTTCCATCATATCCCAGATGAGTTTTGATTTCCTGTCATCTCCTGTCCTAGCTCCATGGGGTGTACTTCCTAACCCGTAACTTAATATGTAATTGTACACTTGTTACTTACTAGGTTACTATATGGATAATTCCCCTCATCATTTCTATAGGGCAAGATAAGTACCATTTTATCATGTTTCTGATTTTTAAAATTACTTTATTGTGTTAAAGACACAAGAGATCTAACCTCTTAACAAAATGCTAAGTGCACAATACAGTCTGAGTAACTATACACACGATGTTGCACTGCAGAACCAGACCTACAAAAATAACACAGAAGAGGTGAAGAAAACATCTGGATTGGTGGTTATTTCACGGTATCGGAAGTGCAGGGATGGATGAGAGACAATACATGAGTCGATATTAGTATTGTGAATATCCTGCTTTCATGTTCAGTGGCAATTTTACACTTTTATTCCTGAAATCATTTAGTTTTTCTGAGAGTATTATTTGGCTGTTTTAAAATACCATCAGCATTACATATACACATATTTATGCATCTGTTCATGTTTCGTATGTGCATGTATGTATACAGACATGAACTGCATAATGACGTTTTGGTCAACGATCAACTGCCTATACATTGGTGGTTCCATAAGATTAGTTCTGTAGAGCCTAGGTGTGTAGTAGACTATACCGTCTAGGTTTGAGTAAGTACACTCTATGATGTTCACACAAGGAGGAAATCACCTAAGGACACATTTCTCAGAATGTGTCCCTGCTGTTAAGCAACAAATGACTGTACATATGTTATTTGGGTTGTGTGGAAGTAAGAGAGGGATTTCTGAGTTTGACTCATGAGTTAAGAGGAATGTTAAATAGAACTTCAATAGCTAGAATGTTCATGTTTTGTTCTGTGCTAATAGTGCAGAATCAAGTTTGCTTGACACTTGTTGGGGAAATTTTTAAATTTGCAAATATTTCTCAATTTGCAGTTAATATAGTAGTGAATGTAAAAAGAGAAGACCTTTATTTGAATCTAAAACATTTTATAACATTAACAATACATATATGTTAATTTGGCAGAAGAATGTTGCATATTATAAATCAAATTATGCATTATTCTTAAAAAAGGCAGTAAGATGTTAAATATCTTTATATGATTTTAGAGATAAGAAAATTAAATTTGAAATTTGGGTATGAGGGGTTGGTAAATGATGAGGTTTACGTCATGCCTTCATTAGGGGCTGTGCTGAACCGTGAACACTGTCTGTATTTATCCACAGCACCCCCCGTATTTAGGGTGAGAAGAAGCTGGTCGTCTTCCTGTGTGGTGGGGCACCTGTTAACTCTGCAAACTGTGAAGCTGAGGCCATGGAAGCACATCCTGCTCATTTTCCAGTTTCTCTCAGCTCCTGCACCCTGTCCAACAGAAGTAGTGCCATGCCCCCCAAATTCACCAGTCTCCTGTGTCTTGGTAAGTCCTGAAGGGAAGGGAGGGGAGGGTAATGGTGGAAAACCCTGTCCTGAAGACATGGGCTATCTACAGCCCAGGGCTGGAGGTGGGAACCTGTGGGAAGTTGAGTTCATCTGCTGTCTGAGCCCAGGCTGACTTGCCAAGGCTAACATCCAAGACAAGGCACCGTTCCTGGCAGAGTGAGATTTATATGGGACAAATCATCTCTGATGTGGTTTCCCTCCAACATCCTGTCTGATCCAGATCTGGGCACCAGTGGATGAGTCTTTCCCCATCGCAAGTGGCTGAGTTGGCTGAATACAAATGGCTGTTCCACGGGGAAGGGTTGGAGCACAGGAGTGGGTGATGCAGATGACTTGGGAGAGCTGGACAGGGATCACCTGGGAGCACAAGAAGTGGGGCTATCTGGTACACCCAGGCTCTGATTTTGTCCTAGAGAGCCTCTGTGGACACCTCCTGTGGACTGAGCCAATCTCCTGAGGGAGCCTGTGATGTTCAGAGACCGGAGTCTCTGAGGGTAGTTAGAACAATCTCCGTGAGGAGGGAAGGACCCCATGCTGGGCTATATGGAACCCTCTGAGGACCAAGAAACAACTCATATTCTCCAGCCCATCCATGATGTTGAGATAAAGGGCATTCCTGCTGCCAGAGTCTGAGAAGGGAGTGTTCAGAGGGCAGTGTCTTCATGGACCTTGTGCTGCATTCTGCTGAAAGAAAATGTTTCTCAATGAGTTTCCTAGTTTTTTCTTATGTTGCTTGAATCTTTTAGATTTCACCCATCTCTTGAATGCATATTTTTTGTTATCATAGAGAAATTTTAAGAGAACCTTTGTTCAACATTTTATCAACAGTCTAAGCAAAATTCTTGATCTGGGAAGACCTGTCATGACCTTGTAGGGGTGGGCTGTGTCACTTGCCTGCCATCAGTTCTCTTTGGGAATGGACTCTGGTTTGGATGAGAAGCCTTGAAAGAATGTAAAGGAAGAAAAGCTCCCTATTGGCAGTGAGGGGAGGGGGACGTGCCCCATTTTCCTCTCTAAGGCTGTGCCTCCTTCTCTCCCAGGTGGACGTGACAAGCCCTCCCTGTCAGCCTACTAGAGCACTGTGGTTCCCCTAGGAGGGAATGTGAGTCTTCAGTGTCGTTTCCATCTTCCATTTGTCATATTCAAAATACTCAAATAGCTGGGACCTATGTCCCTGAGCTCCAGAGAGGTCTTTTCAACAGCTTCACCATAAGCATTGTGACCACAGCACATGCAAGGGTCTATGGATGTTCCAGAACTTACAACCACATCCCCTCTGTGTGGTCAGGACCCAGTAACCCCCTAGAGATTGTGGTCATAGGTAGGAGAAGTCCAGGCCAGCCAATGTCCATGCTGTGTCCAATGGCCCTACTCAGAGTCCAGATTGGAGCCCAGAGTGTGGGGAGTGGATCTAAAGTTCGCAAATGTTAGAAGCGATGCTGAGAAGGTTAAGAGCTTTTAGCCAAGGGAGAGAG